GAAGCAAAAACTAATGCTGACCCTCCGAGCTTTTCGAGTTCCCCGTTCCAACTTTATCCGCACCCTTTCGTCCACTCCCGGAACGACATCCACAAACGCATCCAACTCAAAATTCGCTGTCCAAAACCTCTTCAATGTAAATGATTGGACATGCGTCGTTACTGGAGGAGGTACCGGAATCGGTCTCATGATTGCTCAAGCTTTCGCCAACAACGGTGCCAAGGTGTACATCACCTCCAGACGAAAATCTGTTCTTGAAAATGCAGTCAACACATGGGGTAGCTCCCTCGCACATCCCAAAGGAAAGCTGATCCCACTCGAATGCGATATTACGGACAAAAATTCCATATCCAACCTCGTTAAAGAGGTAAAGGGTAGAGGAGAAACGAACGTTGACGTCTTGGTGAATAATTCTGGCATCAGCATTGACAGTAGTGAGGTGGAAAAGGGGGATGAGAGTGCTGAGAAGTTAAGCGACGAGCTGTTCTCAGAGAATATGTCAAACTGGGAGGATGTGTATAGGACAAACGTTATCGGACACTTCTTCACCACAGCAGCATTCATCCCTCTCCTTGCCGCAACGTACAATCTTCACCCAGGGCGTACAGCTGCAGTGATCAACAACTCGTCGATATCAGGTATAACTAGGACCAGCCAGCATCATTTTAAATACAACGTCTCCAAAGCAGCTTCCATCCACCTTACCACCCTGTTGGCACAGGAACTTCGAAGGAAGGCAGTAAACGTCCGAGTCAACTCCGTCGCTCCTGGTATCTTCCCGAGCGAGATGACGACGAATGAAAGTGACGAGCAGAACAAGTCGAAGATTCCAGCTGGAGAAAGTTATGGGGAGAAGAAGGGCATTCCGGCGGGGAGACCTGGAGCGGAACAAGATATGGCGCAGGCGGTGTTGACGCTTGCATGCAATCAGTATGCGTATGGTCAAGTGAGTGATTTGGAGAGATTCTTCAATTCGGATGATCACTCATCGGTCGCATCCACCAGACAATCGCCATTGACGGAGGATATCTCCTGGAGCATCCCTGATTCGCTTACAATTGGGTTGTTTGGAATGTTATAATTGTTGCTAAACCTAACACTCGGTGATTGCATGTACTTATAGATGGACTGTATAGACGGGAAACAGCCTACATATTTAAGATCTGAAGCAAATTGTACAGTCATTTTTGCAGATACTCAAAGAATTGAGGAACTTGAAAGCCAGAACTAGACCTTAGCTTCCGTGCTTTCCGTCAACATCCTAACCACTTCGGCCCTTGAAAGATCAGAACGAGCATCTTGATCGAGAAAATGCACAGTGTACGCATCATCTACATGGAGATTAACCTTCACCGCTCTCCATTGAACCTAATCGATCTGCTTCGAGTCGTCGCCCCACTCTGAATCGGACGTCTCAAAATTGGATTGCTGGAGCGTGGGGGCGTGGTCGATGATCACGGTCGCCCGTTCACCAGATATTTTACACCTTGTCGAGCTTCTGGGAGGATGAGGGATGGTACTGGAATCTAGAAGGGAAGCCGCAGTAGCTTCACTCTCGATGTAGGCGTCTCTCGTCGTCCGACTACCACCCTGTGTGCCAGTGATCAACTCGGTGAAAGACGAGTGCTCGAAGACAGCTGATCCGCTGCTACTACCGTTATCAACGTCTGGTAAATCGGGAAGAGAGTCTACGCGGCCGAGCACGTATGGTTGCCTGTAGGAAGCCTTGGTCAATGTGCATATATTCAGTAGTCGAGATAACGCCTTACAAATGATTGCAATATTTGAGATAAACCAGCATTGGATCAGGTTTATTCTTCTCAGACCCCAGAATCCTCGCTTTTTTCAAGGGCGTGGCGATCAAGTATTCATGTATAATCAGGACGCCATTAGTGGAGTTGAGCCACCGCCAAAATTGGCTGTATAACCATCAAGAAATCAGAGCGGCGCGCGCCAGGAACAAACCATAGTCAACGTACTCTTCGAAAGTTTTCGGCTCGTTCTTTAGGTGATCTTCAATTTCCCCAAGGGCCTTTTCGATAACCTCCATGTCTGGCTCCTCTGTATCAAAGTCGAAATATAATAAATGAGCCTGAGGGTCTTCGGCCTCTGTTCGAGGCTGGCTCAACAGTGGATATTTTCCGCTGTCCGCCATCGCACCGATCTCGGCGTGAAGTTTTCGGAATTGAGCAAAATCGCGGTCCAGTTCGTTGCTAGCCAGCTGTTGAATTCGTTGGTATTCGGTTCCTCGAAGCACCAGTTCTGCTAGAGACTTGTTTGACGGCGGAAGTCTGGTATGGAGGACTTCGATTTCTTTGGGGGTGTAAAAGGCAGTAGTGGCGCGCATTGAGATGGTGGTCATTGGAGTCGACGGTGGGGATCTTACTCGAAGAAGATTGGTTCTTATATATATATACTCGTTGTGTGTAAGTTATCCATATTGTTCGACGGATGGGCGTAAAAATCTATTGTCCGCTACAATCGTTCGTTGATAGGCCACCAAGGACCACCTTGAAAAGGAATTCTCCATGCAATGGTTTTCTGGCGTCTGGGATAATCGATAATATGTCCCTGGCAATATTTTGCATAACTGAAACGGTGGCTAGAACGAATAGAAAACTGTACAGAGTGAGAGACACATTTGTGATATTCTGTGGCGATGAAGCGCTCAATGATCGCAACTTCACATTACTTCGACGACGAGCCATGTTCACAAATTTTGCCTTGTTTCATGCAACGACTGAGTCTTCAACGTATTGAACCGAAAGAACAAGAAATAAGCTACACATCTATATATGAACCCAAATGTACAATCATTCTAATAAATGCCCAAAGCATCGAGCAACCTGACAAGCATAACTAAACATCTGCATCCGATCCTGCATCCGATTCTTCATCCGACTCTATATCAACTTCTACACTGTCCATCATCATTCTAACCACCTCCCTTCTCGAGAGCTCAAAAGAATCACCATACTCGTCAAGAAACTGCACGCTGTACGCGTCCTCCGCGTGAAAATCAACCTTCACTATTCTCCACTGAACGAAGGTGATGTCCTCCTCCGATTTGGCATCGGACCAATCGGTACTAGGGTCGGGCATCTCGAAGATGGTCTTTTGGAGGAGGTAGAGGTCGTCAAGGATCATGGACGCGTGGCTCTCAGAAATCTTGAAGCTCGTTGAGTCTTCGGTGTCCTCGGGGATAGTACTGCTGGAGTCTGAGGGTGAAGCGGAAGTGGCTTTTGAGTTGTCCTCGACGTTGGCACCTTTCGTCGTCTGACTACCACCCTGTGGCACCATGGTCGAGGTGGAAGACGGTTGCTCGAGAACGGCTGAACCGCTGCTACTAGTGGGATTAAGACCTGGTGAGTCGGTTTTGGTTTCTTTAGGGATGGGTGAGGGAGTGGTAGTGGCGCGGGTTGACATGATGTTCGTTCGAGGTGGAGATCCTGTTTGAAGAAAATGGATTTCTTATGCTTATATACCCTCATCGGGTCGTGTGGAAATTATCCTTTGTTCGATTACGGCGAAAATTCATTGTCCAGCCATTCCAAGTCATCAGTGACGCATGGGCCACCACCTTGAAAGGGATCTCCACGCTTTCTGTATGAAATTTTGATTGTTCTTCGCAACAAAAATCTATACAGTATATGCGGCCAAGGCATTATTTATTATCTACATTCGAGACTTTCTGTTATTGTATGTATTCCATACTCGCGCGCCAACGTTCACAGTACCGAAAGGAGTTTCTCATCGTTATCCAAAAACTTGACTGGAGGCGGAGGAAGCTTCCTCCGCCTCCGTTACCATGTTTCCGGCTGAATTTAGTGAGTACCGCTCTATATACGTTTTGGCCGTACCAGCTCATCCAACCTCCACTTCCGCCTCCAGTAGGTCAACGAACCTTAAACGAGATAAGTGAATGGCACACACCTTCCTTGGTTCAGGATTCTCAGTCTTCGATCGCAGCTGAAATGGACGAATGGGCACTGCCATTAATTGTGGAATACATTGTGAAATTATAAGGTATTAAGCGGCCATGACTGTCGCTGTATGTAACTTAATTTTAATGTAGAAAAGCGTCTGCGGAGAAACTAGCCCACAAGGCCTAGGGAAAGGGGAGACGAAGGGAGCGGGAGCAAAAAGAAGGACAGAATGTGAAAGAGTTGTTTACAGCTTGTGCAAAGTCTTGGAGCGTTCGGGAGCATATTTGGCCATTTCGTTCTCCTTCTTCTGGAACCCACATTTTTCGTAGAAAGCTGTAAAGCAAAGGGAGAGACGCGTTAGCTACGTGTCTAAACGTGTAATACCCAAGAAAATCGCTGAACGCACGTATATTCTCGTCACTGCAATTCAAAATCGTCTTATAACACCCGCTCTTCTCGCTCACATCCGTAAGGGCCTGAATAATCCTCAAACCCAATTTTTTCCCTTGCTGGTTTTTATCCACGGCAATGTCTTCAATATGTCCTACGCTGCCCAGTCCACGTAGAAACTTGCGCTCAATGAATACGCAGCCGACACCGACGATTCGGTCTGTGGCTTTGGAGACAATAACAATGGGAAAGTAGGTGTTGGGAGAGGCGCGCATGGCGTTGAATTGGGCGAGCCAAGCAGGGTAGCCTACATCTGGGGCTTGGGTTAAGACAGAGAGGATGGAGAGGTAGCCTCGGTGGTAGTCCGTCGACGAGAGAGGCCGTAGCTACGTGGCATAGTCATTTTTTCAGCCAGTTTGAATTAGGATTGAATTTTCGTACGTGCACGTCAGGATGAAGCTGGGTTTTGACTTGAGGTGAAATTAGGTCGGCAGGGAAGAAGAGGTCTAGTTTATGGTCTGGAGTGAATGTGGACGAGGAGGACATGATGGTGGTATGGAAACAAGCGGTAAAATTCTGACAGTAAATTCTGATAGTGTCGTAATGTTAATACACGTCGAGTGCCACCGACGCGTCAACCGTCTTTGACCGGAAGCAGAGAGTCTTTTATTGAAATTAAGTTATGGGCTAGTAGCGTAGGGGTTATCGCGTTCGCTTTGCATCTGGTCCACGTCTATATCTTGCGAAAGGTCTCCGGTTCAAATCCGGACTAGTCCACTAATTTCAGCGAACATCAGTTTTTCTTTCTCATGATTTATCATCCAGGGTCCTTAGCCCACAAGCACCCATGTCATTTCTAACCCCCACGTTGAAGCTACTTGCCAGTGAGATAGCGTCGCTTTTGATTCTCAGAAATGTTTGTACCAAGAGCATTGCTCGCTAGTCGCTGTTCGCCATCCTTACATTGACTATATCACTCACAGGAAACACTCTCCATAGCCGAAACAGCTTGCGGAGGTCTCATGAGCGCTGCTATACTCAGTGTTCCCGGAACGTCAAAGTGTTTCAAGGGCGGTATGGCAGCTTATTCGCTCGAATCGAGGATTGCTTTTCTTGGTTGGACGAAAGAGGATTTGGAAAATTATAGGTGTGTAGTGTGTTTCCGATTTCATCTCATTACTAATGGTACTCTTCATCCATCCTCATTCTTTCAGAGGTCCTACCGAAAAAATAGTCCTCAAGCTAGCCTTACACATGCGTTCTACCCTTTCTTCGACATGGTGTCTATCCGAATCTGGCGTGTGCGGCCCTACGAGGCCGGATGTTTATCGTAAGGAGATCAAAGGGCCAGGGTACTGTGCGTATGGTCTGGTTGGCGGGGGAAGCTCGGTTGGTGCAGAGGGAAAGGCAGACGGCTCGGTATCCTTACAGACCAGCAAAGAAGTAAATGTTCCTCAGCCCAAAACTCGCGAAGAAAATATGGTGGCGTTGGCGGAGGAAGGGTTAAAGTTTCTGCTGGATACGTTGAAGGCTCAACCGGTGCAGGAAACAAGGCAAGAGTAATCGATTGATTCTCTATGAACAGTTCAGACCAGTGAATATGTGTAGGAATAGTGACGGAAAGTCTAGAATGTAACATTAGTACGTGCGATCTACCTGTGGCTCTGTTTTCGTTATCAGCGGTAGTGGGCTGTTAAGGTTTGCGGGGAATTCCTTCTCAGGGCCCGGCGAACTTTTTCGCTCTGTCCGCCCTTTCTCTGTGAACAGCCCCCAAAAAGTGCGGAGAACTACCTTTTAAGACTTCTCATCCGAGGTTCTTTGCTCTAAACAATCAGTTTTTTTTACACAAATCCGCCGAATAATGAAATCATCTGTACGCAGTGGGTATACGAGAGGTGGGTATATGAAAGGTCTTTACTAAATGAAAACCACTCTCGGCATGAACACGACTGCCATTTCATAAACCCCTGAAGAAATCAAAATCTCGTAAAGCAGAGTTCTGAGTTAGCTGTTGAACATGGCTGAATTGGTGCAATGGGGAGCGGGATTCCAGCGAATTTAGTGTTTCGTTTTCATCGTATTGGAATAGGATCCCCTTCGGTCCAAATAATTCCGTGGCTCTTAGCGGCCGTCTCAATCTCTTCACGATGGATCGACCTCACTTCCGTCACATTCAACGGTGAGCGGCCAGAGTTCCACGCTATCGAGCGAGTGTTCAACGGGATTTGATTGTTATTTCGAACGATAGACGAGCACTTTCCAGCATACATTGTCGTTATATCGGTTTATGTTTGATTTTCTATCAGAGCCACTGTGGACTGAGCTTCATACATAGCATGACAGAGCATGAACTGCGTGATAGAATGAACCCAATATGTGGGACAACAACTGGATATTATAGTCGATGAAAAAGTTAAATGTATAATGGAAGAAAAAGAAATTGTGGAGCTATAGTCGATCTTGCCGAATTGGCTGGGAGCATAACACTAAGCTGCTTCACGGAGTTCCAACAGCAAGGCAGTTTGAAAGTAATGAAGTAACTCACAAAAGACATAATGTCCAAGTCCTGGTAAGAGTACTTAATACTTACTGGAAAATTCTTACCAGTCCTAAAAAGAAGTTAACTTATAATTTAATAAATTTTGATGCATATAATCTTTTACTGGACAACTATCAGCAACATAAATAGCTACTAGGCAAGAAAAAAAAAAAAACAATACAGAGAGCTGGAGGCTGAAAGTGACATAAAATTAAAGTTATAATCGGCAGTCTTGTGGGTCTGACTGGGAAGATTTTAACTACAAGTTTACTTTACCTCGCCTAACCTTTGGCTTACAATAAATCCGTGTTTTCTTCCACTTGTGTCAGCTAGATGATGAATCCAAGTTTCCACCTCCTAGCCCTCACTCTCCAATTTTAATTCCCTACTCCCCCTACTTCTCCACCTGGCTCATTTTGTGGTGACAATTCATCAGATGTACCAGCTCGTACAGCCTTTTCAATATCATTATCTGGAACCGGCTTTTTGAAGGCCTGCATGCCTTGCATCAATCTGGGCACTATGCTGCGTACTCTACTCCACCTGAGACTGGAATTTTCCAGTTTGTTCCCAGATTTACTGGCCATTTCATCAGTACTCTCAGGAACAGATGGTAGCACTGAAGTTACTGTGTGGGGCTCTTCTTGTATTACAGATACAGGGCGGGAATTATAACCGTCATCCCCTGGGATAGGACCATTGCAACCATTCTCAATAAATGTCGCAAATCTCGGAAGATTCCTGCTAAGTTCATCCCGTTCAAAAAGCCAACCTTCAAAGGAGAAGTTCTCTTGGGACAATGTAGAAATGCAGTGCTGCCATCTCTCCTTTGGAATTACAAATTTTGACTCTGCATTCAAACGAGCAAGGAAAAAGCTAGTTCTTTTTGTTTCTCCTTCCCAAAACCCTAGCGACTGAGCGCAGAACATCTCCAGAGATCCATTGCTGGAAAAATATTCCATGACTTCATGGAACAGGGAAAGATTTGTTTCTGGCAAAGATTTCAAAGCACCTTCAAATCCTAACATTTCTTTATGTGCTAATATCTCCGGGGGAGTGTTACTTTTTATTATCTGACTCCATACAGTATCTGTCCAAGAATCATCCGAGGGAAGAAGAATGTTTCGGAACAATGCCTTCTGTAAGCTTTTATAATGATAATATCCTTGATCATGATTCATACTACTACAATTTTTAATAATTTGATTTGCAAAAAGAGGAGAAATAATATCTCTACTGATTCCCTCTTTGTCAGCATCGAGCACTGAGGTAAGAGTCCCACAAACACTTTCAATTAGTGTACTATGTAAGATTCCCTGTTCATTATTTTCATCTTGTGCATGTGCCGAAGATTCCCAAAATTTGCCAAAGTTAAAACATTCAATGATGCATTCTAAAATTAAAGCAATCTCAGCTTTGATATTCACAGAAGTCTCCTTTCCTTGGTACTTTCTCCAGCTCATAGCATATTGTTCCATGGTAAACCATGAGGAATATACAGCATGAGGATTCTCCAACCAAATTTGACGGCTGCTGACTATAATTGAAAGAAGTTGTAGATGGGTAGGAATATCTTTATCAAACAATTTGGTGGGCGTGGACATTCCATAGTATTTTTTAATATGCTCTATAAGCAGTTTGTAAAAATGCTCTGAGGCAAAATTTTCCAAAAATTTCTTAATGCTGCATGCTTGGGTGAGATGTGATTTGAATAATATAGCATGATTGCTCTCGTCTCTCTTTTGGCAGTAATTCAAAGGCCATTGATATTTTGCAGTGTAGTTATATTCAGGTATAGGAGAGCCTTCAATAGGAGCATGCTTTGCAGCTAAGTGTAACAATTTCTGACAGATAACCCGCTCAAATCCATCAAGATCATTGGATGAGAGTGGATTTCTGTTTCTGGAGGTCAGCTTGAACCAGGTGGCCCAAAGAATAGGCTCATGCTGAATATCCTCTTGATAGTTGTCAGATTCAAGCACTGCTATAACAAACTCTCTGTATTCATCACCATTCCAGAATATGTAGCAAGAATCATATGAGGATGATGAGGGTGAGGAAGGAACAGGAACCCATTGAACATCCACAACAGTAGCTCCTGAATGCATCAGAGAACGAGCTGATCGGCTGAATACTGTATGAAGACTCTTCTGGTGTGCATTATCAAACCGTGCCTGAATTTCATCCATGATTTGGAATGATTGCTTTTCAGAAATTTCTTTTAAATCAGCAAATCTATCAAAATCCATGTTACTCAGAGCATCCAGTGCTATAGCTTTGGCAGACAAGTTTGTGGATGACCTAATCAGCCACAGCAATCCAAAAAAATCTGTCTTCAGGGCTTCAAAATTATTTTGAATGTAAGTAATTTCCATGTCATTTAGCTTATATTTTGTTCTTTCATTATTATCTTTTTGGAGTCCAATCGCCCATTTTGGTCCTATACAGGAAATAAAGAATGTCAACTTATGGTGCATATGGTGTATCAAAACAGAAAGAGCCTTGTAAATTTTCTTCAAAGTCCATAATAATCTATGATCATCTTTGGAGAAATATCTTATGGTATTACTTGTTACATCTTGCTCATCATTTGTCAGATTTCTGTGACCACCTGAGGCAGCATTGGTAGATGAAAATATATGGGCCATTTTCAGAATCAATGAAAATAGTAAGGACGTAAATGGTGTCTTATATGGACAGTCCAGATACCACACTGGAATTAAATTGCTAGCAAGATAAATAAGCAAGATTGTGAAAGCTAGAACATCCACAATTGCAGCAATCACCAGGTTCAATTCATGAAGAAAGATCAGAAGTCCTACAAAGAAAAGTCCCATAGAAAGATGAATAAACATGGGCAACAGGCCAATGATTAGGGACATATGCCATTTCTCCAAGCCCATGAACCTAAAGTGACGGATCCATGCTCTCTCCTGAGGTGTTCCAGTAGGAACAGCTATATACTGATGGATCCACTGCTTGGCTAGTACAGCACTAAGAGCAGTTCCAAGACTAAGAACAAGACTTATAAACCAAAGCACATTCAAGGCAACATCAGGTAGATTTGCATGGAATGTTGAAGAAGGTGTCAATGGAGAAGGTGCTATCTCATTGGCTGGTGTACCATTCATGGCAGCTCTCTGCAAAGCTACTGATTCAGCCAAAAGATTGGCACTAACTTCTGTCCAATCAAAACCAAGTCTCCCAGAAGTTTCAACTACAAATGTAGTGAGCACTG